CCGAAACAAACCAACATTTCAAGCTTCTACTCCTTTTTTATTTTGATTAAAATATTGGAAAAATTGTAAAAGAAATTCAAACAATTTTGTTTTCCCTAAATTTCTTTCAAAGGGCCGTACCTTGATGTCCTTAAATTTGGACTCACATGCCCGTTTAGCCACGTGGTGGGCAATATTTGCTCCGGCACTATCTCCGGCGAAGAAACAACGCGACAGATCGGCGTTCTCCGGCAATACGCTCTTCTCGCTGACAAGAAACTCCAGCACGTTGAACCCGTCCTCGTACTGAGCCGGGTAACGGTGTTCCGGCGCCAGCCGGTAGTTGACGGAGATTACGACGGCAGGGATCTTGCAAGCTAAACGGCGGCAGACGATGTCGTAGGACTTGACATCCGGGCTGAGATAGACGAACCCGCCACCGTGAAAGAAGACAATGACGGGCAACTGGGAATCATTTTGTATGTTTAACTGTGTGGGTACGAAGAGGCGGAACCAAAGGTTGCGAGAGGAGTCGATAGTGACGTCGGAAGTCCTGACGCCTTTGATAGGATTGGAGTCGGCCGGCGTTTTGATCCCGAATTCGAAGAACCTGAGAAGGCGGCGGTCAACGGTGCCGTCATGGCGGCGAGAGGCGTCGGTGAATTTACTGAGGATAGATAACTGGATGCGCGTCCTCCAGGGCAGCATGGGAGATGATGGCGGCGCAGCCATGATTAGACCAATAAATAATGAATAATGTTATTTATATAGAAGACACCTATGGTGTCATTTAATTTCCTCTGTATTATTGGGCTTTGGCGTTTATCATGTACTTTTGGGGCTTGAGACACTTGAGAAATCTTTTTCATGATAGGCTTACATAACCTATTTCACAGTCCCTATCAAGCACCACACATACGTGGGCTCACATAATTTTTTTTTAAATACATGTAGGCCCCTGAACAGGTAGAGACCATGTAAAACATCTATGATAGTATCATGCCTGACATCCACATGACACTTTGTTATTTATATTCATAGACTGTCATGTATATGTTATGCAAGGAGATTATTCGTAGTTTTCCCTATAAATAACATTAGGATACAATTATTTACATTCATAGTTTTTATATATACATTCACTTTTAAAAATATAATATACATGCGGGACCCTTGCAAACTTAGAGGCCATGTAAAACATTTATGATAGCGTCATACCTGATATCCGCATGACACTTTTTTATTTATATCCATAGGTTGTCATGTATATGTTATGTAAGGAGATTATTCGTAGTTTTCACTATAAATAATATTATAATACAATTATTTACATTCATAGTTTTTATATATACATTCACTTTTAAAAATATAATTTATTTTATCTTATATAAATTTATTTAAATAGACATATAAAATTAAATAAAAACATATCATTCTAACTTAGAGATGATAATCTAGCTCGTCGGCTCAAGTCACTCGTGGTTTGACTTGGAAAAAGCTCAAACCCTCTTAGCTCGAGTTTCGGGAGAATCAAGCCTTTTGGGATGCCGAACAAAGCTTGAGCCGGCCCGTGTGGCTCGGGCTGACGAGCCTATATTTAAAAAAAATAAAAATTAAAGGTTTGCAGCAAGGCAGCAACCTGAGGCGCTGCCTTAACTTTAAGGTAGCAGAGGCTGCCTCTTTATATTAAAAAAAATACCAAAATCAAAATCGAGCTTGCTCAGCTCGAAAAAGTCCAAGCTGAAAGCTCAATTCCGGGCTCGTCGACTTGAACTCGAAAAAAACACGATAATTTTAACTGAGTCAAGCCCAAGCCTCCAATTTCGATTCAGTTCGTTGACATCCATATTTTAACTTCATCCACTAATATTTATTTTTATAAATTCTTTCAAACCTTTTTATATTTTTTTAGAGTTTGTATTTAATTAAAATTCTAATAATAATAAAATTTTATCTTCATCTAAAATCATAAAATATCCTCTTTAAAGGAAAATTTAGAAAAATAAAAATCAACACATTATTAAGGTTATAATTCTTTCATGATATAAAAATGGAATATTATTTTTTTTTATTTTTTTAAGTATTGGTTTGACAGATAAAAATATATGAAAATTTTCAATACTTATCCAAATATTTTTTTATTACAAAAGGAAAAAAAAAAACTTAAAATTATCAGGCGAAACATAGAAATAAAAATTATGAGCATATTAAAAAAATGCCATCTTCATCTAAAATCATAAAATATCCTCTTCAAAGGAAAATTTAGAAAAATAAAAATCAACACATTATTAAGGTCATAGTTCTTTCATGATATAAAAATGGAATATTATTTTATTATTTTTATTTTTTTAAGTATTGGTTTGATAGATAAAAATATATGAAAATTTTCAATACTTATCCAAATTTTTTTTATTACAAAAGGAAAAAAAAAACTTAAAATTATCGGGCGAAACACAGAAATAAAAATTATGAGCATATTAAAAAAATGCCATCTTCATCTAAAATCATGAAATATCCTCTTCAACGGAGAAAAAAAAAAAGAAAACACACACAGACAACATTATTAGAGTTATATAAAATGGAACATTAATTTTTATTTTTTTAAGTATTGGTTTGCCAAATGAAAATATTCGAGTAGTTTCAAAATAAGTTTCAATACCAGTCAAAATATTCTTACATTACAAAAAGAAACAAACTTAAAATTATCAGCCAAAACACAAATAACCAAAATTATGAGTTTATAAGCAAATAAATAAATAAATTGATTAATATATGTTTGGTTACTTGAGTAGAATACTTTTGATAGAATCCTATTTTCAAGAAAAGATACTTGTTAATCTTTATAACTAAATATTAAAATATCAACATGACAATATAGAAAATGAAAAACAATCAGATTAAATAAATTTTAAATTTTTTTTAGGTTCAAGTTCTCAAAATTTTTTTTTTTTAATAAAATTTAAGAAAATCTAGGTCTTCCCAGCAGAAATTTTAATACATTTTTTTTTATTAAATCCTTTAAAATTTGGATGTGATCAACTGAGATTCTTATGGATTTTCTAAAATTCTATTAAATTCATGAAACACGTTAGAATTTATAATATTTTAAAATTAATTAAAATCATATAAATCTGGACATTTAAGGGCTTCCACTATCACTTAATCTGGTGTTAAACAATATTGTTTATATATTTTATTTTTTTACTATGAAAATTAACTGTGTTTAAATTTCTTATAAAAAATAAGTGTAACAAATCTCAATGTGACTAAAAGTTTTCGTAATAGTCACGGTATTATTTTCAACGTTTCGAAAAGTTGTTTCTCAACTAAAACTTGCTTTAAAGGTTGATTTCCATCGATCAATTTTATTCACTTGAACAATTAATGATTTTAAATTGTGTCATTGATATCAATAAATTTTCAAATAAAATGAGATAGGTGATGGATGGAAATAAGATTGAAATTACAACAATCGTGCTTGATGGTCAGGGCCACATGAGCTTGTGACCCCTACCAATGGAGGACGCCATGTATGGCCAAGGCCTCATGTATCTTTATCCAAACTTCAAGTCTACAATGACTATACTTGCATATTTACTTTTCAATCAACATGATCAATCTACTACTCAACCACTAAAACTTATTGAGATGACATGAACTTTGACTATTCTTATTCTCTCTTTTTCATCTTTGTATGCGTACAAAAAACATTAATTGAACTCAAATTGAACTCGTTTGCCAGAGCATATGCCAGCTGTTCCAGTAATAAGTAGGGATGCCAACAATTCGAAACTTGAGGCTCGTGTTCGACTCGTTTAAAATGATCGAACTTTTTTTCAGGCCCAAGTTGAACAAGCTCGCCCAAAAATTTTAAGCTCGACCCGAGCTCTACCGAGCCAAGCCGGTTCGGACTTTCCCAAGCTGAGCCACGCTCGAGCCAACGAGCCCGATTGACATCCCCAATAATATGTGAGGATCTCAGTGTCAATCATCATTTCTATTAAATGAAAGATAATTTTTTTATTTAATTGAATATGTAATTTAATATTACTTTCACCTAAATATGATATTAAATATTGATAGTATTAAATAATATTACTCATAAAGTAAATTCCTCCACTCAATATCTTTCGAATACGTTTTAATTACTACTGTACATTAATACTTTTTATTTTTTTTTGGGTTTAAAAGGGTTTTTTTTTTTTTTTTGAAAAAAATGATCTAATGTAATTTCCTTTAAAAAGTACCTGTGGAATAGGAAACTCTATTAGAACTTAGAACATATCTTAAAAACTCTTTAAACTTATTCACTCTATTTTAAAGAGTTAAACCTAAAATTGTGCTCCAAGTAATTTCTCAAATTAACATTTTATAATAGAGAATTATAAGAGAGAGTGAATTAAACATACTTTCTAATCCCTATAATCAAGCGTATTCAAAATATTTTGATTTTCAATTTAGGAAAATAATGTAATAATTTGAAGGGAAGTTAGTGAAAATAAAATATATGAAAAAATAATAAATATTTTTTAAAAGTAGTAAAATTAAGTGTTAAAAATAAAAAATTGAAGTAATTAAAAAAAATTTACTTTCTAAATTTATAGATGTCGTCTAAATTGTAAAATATACTCTTTAAGAGTATAAATTCTCTTGAATTTTTATTTTTATTTTTTTTAAATTTCAAACAAAAATTAAGTAGTTTACTCAAAAAGCTCTACTATGAAAAGTAAAGCAAAAGACATATCAAACAAGCCATTAACTCTATGTTACTTCGTTTAAACATAGACAAGCATTTGCAAGTACATACGAAATCCAATCGTATTTGGTGCATATCATAGTGTACACCAAGTTTTACTATATATCACCTGGTAATACAGAATTAGACAATTTAAAAAAAAAAATAGTTAACCAATCGAATCTTGACACCAAGGATGATGTCAATCATAATGTAGACTCATTGATATAAATGTGACTTTATTCTTATATCTTCTACGACATGTCTTGACTTCATCATGTGAGAAAATTAGAAACTTGAGTGAGTCACCACTCTCAACCTTAATGATTTCTAGTAATATTACACTTAAAGAAAAAATAATACAAATGTTTTACAGAATACAATAAGCAGTGGGGCCCATCCCAATAAAAGATTCCTCCATGTGTCTACCCTGTAGAACATCTGTGGGAAATTCTCTGTACACATGGCATTTTCCAGTGATTTCATAGAATAGATCCACTTGTGTATGAATGTTAATACATCACGGTTGACATTGTACTTGGTGCCAAAATTTGATTGCCAAAAATTTAATTTTTTTTAAGTTGTTCAATTGTGTGTTGCCACGTGCTAGAGTATAAAACTTGAAGTGTACTATGATGTACACCAAACATGATTCAAAATATAATAGTTGTCTAGTTCAAACCATATCAAAAAGAAATTTTATATTCGGTGGACGAAAAATGGAATTTCTTCCATATAAATATTGTGTAAATCTTAACACATGGTAGAAAATGGAGTGGTTGGGGAAATGTCTAGGGAATGAAAAATAGGTGTGATGTGAAACAGTTAAAAGCGGATATCAGTTAGGATTAGCCTATTAGGCGATTATAGGATATGGGAGGGTATACTGTTGCTCTCCTCTCCATAATTTATTATTTATTAGCTCCTATCCATTTTTCACTAACAACAATGTCTTAGACAATCAACCTAAGTATCATAACGTGATAAATTCAATTAAAAGTAAAATTA